TCAGAGATTTGCTATAGGGCACGTGAGTTCACAAATACAGAGAAAGATAGAGAAAAAGTGAGAAATCACCCCCCACACACACCCAGGGGGATGGCCATGCCATAATCTCTTCTCTTCCATTCTCCTCCTGGGATTTTAGGCACGCACACATACCCCCGGCATGAGCTTCAAATGGCCCGGTCCAGGACTTGAACCATGTCAGCCATGTGCGAGTCCAACACCTTAACCACTATGCCACCTGCTAGCCCTGCCGTGTAACTGTTAATCTGTTTACATTTGCTATTGTCATTTAAATAGCAAAGAAGATAAGTGGTGTGAAAAACTACAATGTGTAAATCCACTTTTGAGTAAGGGTCCTTGGAGGTGGTTAATAGGCCAGCCAATCTGTAGCCAGAATTAAGTTACTTTGGGGAAAGAAGAAGGCAACTAAAGCTGCCTTCTTCTCCTCTGGAGTCTCCTGCATACCCCTCCCCCTTGGGCTCTAATTCACTTGGAAATTCCAGCCCCTAGGAGTTAACAGTAAATGTAAAATAAAATCGAGACTAAATATCTAAGATTGTTTTGTTACTATCTCCTCTCATCCCACCTGGAGTAATTTCTACATTCCCTTTTGCTTTCACTCAGTCTTTCCCAAGCCCCACCAAGGACGAGGGCTTCTTTTTGCCGTCAGGCATAGAACCAGGGTAAGACACTTCCCCAGATGTTTACTTGGAAACTGGAGTACTGACGTAGTTTTCAAAATCTTTCAAGCCACCACATTTTTATATGTGAGTATTACAGAATTTTCCTGGAAGAATCACATTTATATATACAGTAATCTCCTTTTATCTGCAGTTTTCTTTTCCACAGTTTGGTCATTTGCAGTTAACTGTAGTTCAAAATATACATGGAAAATTCCAGAATTAAACAATCTGCAAGTTTTAAATTGTGCATCATCCTGAACAGCATGATGAAACTTCATGCCATCCTGCCCAGAACCTGAATCATCCTTTGTTCAGTGTATCCCGCCTGCATATGCCACTCATTCATTAGTCACTTAATAGCTGTCTGGGTTGTCATATCAACTGTGGTGGTACAGCAATGCTTGTGTTCAAGCAACCCTTATTTAATTTACTAATGGCCCCAGAGCATAAAAGCGGTGAAGCTGGCGAGAAGCCGCGAGGCTAGCAGGTGGTGTGGTGGTGACGGAAGCTGCATCCCCCATGGCCAACCAGGCCGTTTGAGTTTCAGACCCTGTGACTTGAAAATCAAACCAGGTGCATGTGCGTGCATGCCCAAAATTCTGAGAAGACAATGGAGAAGGGGTTACATTGTGGCTATACCCTCTGGGGGCTAGTTTTTAACTTTCTCTCTGGCAAATGCATGGGCCCTACAGCAAATTTTAAGAGAGAAAAAGAAAAAAAAAATGTATCCTGAAGGTTGCTAAGAGCTACAGTGTAATATTTTGGCAAAGACAGACCATGTTTATATAGCTTTTATTATAGTTAGTATATTGCTATAATTGCTCTATGATTAGTGTTGTTAATCTCTTATGTACCTAAATTTAAAAATTAAACTTCATCATGGGTATATATGTATAGAAAAAATCATTGTATATATTACATGTTGGTAAAATCTTTGTTTTCAGGTATCCACAGGAGTCTTGGAATGAACTCCCGTAGGTAAGAGGAGTGTACTATAATGTACTGTTTATGTACCTTATAGGCGTTAATATCTTAAAAAGTCTCTTCTCCAGATTTTACAGACTCAAAGATGAAATTCAGCAGAATTTTGATTTTTTTTTTTTTTTAAATGTATGGGTGAGGGGGAATGTCATCAGCACATTTTCTGCAAGCAGATTTGCTCTTAGCAACTGAAAAGTCATCAACAAAGGAGCTGTTTTTCCTTTAGTAAGAGTTGCTAGTACACAGAGTGGAGGAGCACAGCCATGGCCCAAGGGAGTGTGTTTAGCAACCCGCCCGCCGGGCTCTCACACTTCTTCCTTAAGCAAGCAACCAAGTGCTGGCTTCCTTCGGACAGCTCCCAGTCAGGTCAGACATACAGCTGAGGACCTGACCACAGAGCCATAGACTGTCCTAACAATTATGATCCTAACTGGGAAGAAGGCTGGGTGGAGGGAGAGTCAATAATTAGAGGAAAAGTGTCCACAGATGACAAAATGATCAAGGGGTAGATTTCGAGTGAGGGAAAAAAAAAAAGGATCCGAAGATAGGAAATGTAATGCAAGGTGGACCAGAGTACTTCATCCACACTCTCCTTCCTTTCCCACACTCACCATCCCACACGTTCCTCTCCTGTCATGGTGAAAACTCATGAGAGAATGGCGTCGATTTGGAGGAGAGTTCTGATTATCCTGGCTGAATCCAAGGCTGATTTTCCATTTCTTGGTTACATTAACTAATCCTTTTTTTTTTTTAAGAATTATTTTATTTACCTTTATTTATTTATTTTAATTTGACCAGGGAGAGACAGAGAGAGAGAAAAAGAGAGAGATCAAGCTGCCAGGTCGGGGACTCGACCCGTAGTCGGCCATGTGGGAATCCAGTGTCCTTAACCACCACACCACCTGCTGGCCCCGACTAATCCTTTTCTTTTTGAGAAGCATAAACTAGTTCAGACTAGGTTTCTCTAGCAATTTAGAGTTGTGTTATTGTTAATTATTCTTTTAGTAAAACTAAAAACAATCATTTTTTCCCAATACTTAGAACTGTAAGAACCTAGTTTTTTGTTTAATGTGAAAATCAAGATGAGTTGTCAGTGTGAAATGCAGACCTGCTGACTGCTTTGCTCTGAGAAACTCTGGTAATTCTAACCAGTTATTCTAAATTACCATCAAAGACTTACTATTTCTTTTTGAAACACATTCATCCAAAAAGTTTAAAATAATAACTCAAGGGGCCAGCCGGCGGTGTGGTGGTGAAGGTGCTGGACTCCCACATGGCCAACTGCAGTCTGCATCCAGGACTTAGCAGCCTGCGTGCATGCGCGTGCTTGCCCAAAATCCTAGGAGAATAAGGGATTGCAGCATGGACATCCCCCATGGGGGGCAGGATGATTTTTTTTACTTTCCCTCCTCACTATCTCTCATGTGAGCACATGCACCATATGGGGGAAAAAATGAACAAGAGTAATGTGCATTGATAAACTTGGACAATTAAGTCAATTTGGTTGCTTAGAAACATAATCTCCCTCTTATCTAGTTCAGTATTTCCTGAGCTCCCATTTTACTGAGTTTGTGTTAAGTCATTCTATAAACGTGTCTGAAGCAATTGTGCAAAATTCTCTTCTAGACTGAGTCAGGAGTCTCTGAATTCTGCTCTTCCAGCGCTGTTCAGTGTGAACCACATACTGAGGATCAGCATTTTCTTGAAGCTTGTTTGAAATGCCCATTGTTGGGCCCCCTTTCAGACCAAATGAATCAGACTCTCTAAGGGTAGAATCCAGGGTATCTGTCCTGCAGATTCTTACGTGCACTGAAGTTTTCAGACCAGTGCTGTCGTGTGTTTGTACAGCCATGGCGTTCTTACTCATGCTTAGCAGAGGGGAACAGAAGACATTCCACTAGCCTTGCCACAGAATGGATGACTTCAGTTTTCCCACTGCTATCTGAAACCAGTTTGTAGTTTTCTTCAATACAGTTTGCAGCTGGAGCTGAGTCTGTTTCTTTCTACTTGCTTTTTTGAAGCCTGGGGGGCGGGGTGAGGAACCAGGAATCACAAAGGAAAAGGCAAGGCTAAATTTTTTTTTTCAAATATCTGATCTTGGGACCAGCAGGTGGCATGGTGGTTAAGGTGGTTCAACTCCCAAATGGTTGATCACAGCTTGAGTCCTGAACCTGGCAGCTGGAAATGCACACCAGGCCCAGGTGTATGTGTACCCCAAAATCCCCAGATGAGAGTGGAGGAGAGGGGATCATAGTGTGGCCATCTCCCCTGGGGGGGGGGGTAATTTGCTTTCTCTCTGTCTCTCCAGCAAGTGTCCATGCCCTATAGTAAAAATCTCTAAATAAAATCTGATCTTTGCTCTCTTCAGAGGTTGTTAAAGGATCTATACTGCTCAAGAGAGGGAAAGGATTCAGTTGTTTCTCTCGATTTGAGGATGTCCATGTGGATTCCTCAGGGACTCTGGAGGCCAGGGAGAAGACACACAGAGCTCCATGCCAGCACAGACGGCACCACAGAGCTGTTGATAGGGGAGCAACATGAGACGGAGTGAACCGCAGGCTTGAGAAGCTGAGGTCCCAGTGGTGAGATCTGAGAACAAACTGAAGAGGGCAGTGAACACGGATGGGCTAAGCCGTTAGAAAGTAAATGTGTCATTTGATAATAGCTTTTACGATGCAAAATAGAATAGCATAGAAATGCTCTAGTGTAGATTTAATTCCAAAGTAGAGGTTCCTTTCACATCGGTCTAGTAAAATTTACTTTTGCAATGTTAGAGGTAAACCCTCACACTTAACAACTCTTTGCTTGTTTTAAGAGAATTTTTTTTAAGTTTTAAAATGAGACAGAAGACAGACCACATTGAAAAATTTTTTAAGTTATTTTTTAAAACCTAAATTATTTTAAACTATGACAATGATAAAATGAATGCCAACTAATCAAGGTCCTAAGCTAACATTGAAAATGAGAAGGAATTGGAATTCCATTATATTTTGACAGTCAAAAAGGCTGATCAACTGTTGTCATTAATGTTAGTGCCCATGGGGACCAGCACTAACCACCGGCATGGTGGTTAAGGTACTGGACACTCCCTCATGGCCAACCACGGTTCAAGTCCCAGACCTGGTGGTTTGCTTTCTC